GCCCCATACCATACTACCCGGTGATGGACCAGTGTGGCGGTGCATAACGCAGCTGTTCAGCATCCTCTCTCCACGGTGCCTCCAGACTCGAAACCGACCATCGTGGTGTTGTAGACAGATGCGTGACTCGTCAGTAAAGACAACTTCATTCCATTCTGCCACCCATATCCTTCTTTCACCGCACCATTGGCGGCGGAGACGTCTGTGGTTCTGTGTCAAGGGTAGACCAAGCAATGGACGTCTTGCGGACAGACCCCTCTGCTGTAAACGGCGTCGAATGGTACGCGCAGACACTGAATGATGCGTTACAGACTCAATGTGCTGTGCTATGGTTCGTGATGTGACTGAGCGATCCGTCACTGCCATGCGCACAATTTGCCTGTCCTCACGTGAAGTGGTGCACTGAGAGGTGGATGCGATCGACCACGTCGGTCCGTCGTACCTCCTGCATCCAACGGTCACATATCTGCATTACAGTTGTTTGGTTTCGTCCAACACTACTACCGATTTCCCTGAAAGATAATCCACAATCTCGGTAGGCCACTATCCTTCCTCTGTCGAACTCTGATACTTGATCAGAAGCTGATCGCTGTTTTCTACGAGACATAACTGGTCGTTTTTTGAAAAAACAACAAGAAAACTCAATTGCCGAATTTGAAATCGTCGAAATCTCCAAGCCTTAAATAGCGCTTTGAGGTGGCGCCACAGGCGTGCGTGATGTGTGTCTGCGCTGAAATTCTAATCATTTGCATACCTCACCTCTGCTAATGCATGTTGTAAATTTCATGTTATTTGCGTACTTCCTTCAGGGTGTTGCATTTACGATGGCCAGCAGTGTAGATAATCTGAAATGTGGGCGTGGTAGTTGCTGTCCAGCATCAAATCTTGCTCCGTAACTTGATAAAAATTGCAGTTAAAGCTTTGAAATTTTGCAGGCATGTTTATAAGGATCTGAGGTATCAAATAAGCCAATAAAAAATTTCGATAGTTTGATGATTTTTAGGGTACTATATCGTTTTAACACCACGATTGATTCTGTGATAAGCAATATGGGTTCAAGATTTGTGTTTTTAAAGCAACATTTTGAAAATTTTGGTTTCTCTCTAAGACTTAAGCAAGATAAAAAAAATATACCCAAAGAGTAAATACTGAAAAACTGTCAAGATTTATACACAGTCCTCTAAGTAGGTGATAGCTGTAACCCCCCCCCTCCAACTTTACGAGTTATATGAAAAATTACAAAATATGATCCCAAATTTGCCCAACACCAATACAGACGTAAAATATCTGCTCCAATATGTCATAGAGAACAATTTGAAAGAAATTTTCCCAAATATTTACATTGTCTTTCGAATCTTGTTTACAATACCTGTAAGTACCACTTCTGCTGAGATGAGCTTCTCAAAATCAAAACTGATAAAAAAAAAATTTGTAAGAAATACAATGGGTTAGGAAAGGCTTTCAGCGTTTGCAGTTTTGTCTATTGAAGCATATATAGCATATAAGATAAATTACGAACCAATCATTAAGGATTTCAGCAAAACTAAAAGCAGAAAATTTGTTTCTTTAACTTTTCTTTTTTTCATTATTGTTTAATGTGCCAAAGAAATATGAGTAAAAAGTTTGGTTTTTTCATTGTGTGAATAAAAGTTGTTTCTTTTTCTTTTTTATTAACCCTTTTCTTACGCCACCAGAAGGCCTCGCAAAATGCATCTTGCCCACATTAAGTTCAGGTCTCGCGCCGCCACTGCCCACGCGGCGGCCCTGCTGACCATGATTTCAATTAGGTGGTCAACCATCGCAGAATTAAGCAATCCCCATTCTTCTTGTAGAGTAGTTTCCAGCTCAATAAGAGTGGCTGGAGGTGGGAAACGTGAAGATACAGCACGGCCGAGAGCATCCCAAAGATTTTTAATGGGATTAAGGTCGGGCGAATATGCTGGCCACGCCATACGCGCAATCCCTTCACTCTCCAGGTAGTCATCGACGATGTCAGCTGTATGGGGTCGTGCGTTATCGTCCATTAAAACAAAAGTAGGGCCAACTGCTGCAACGTACAATCTCACAATGTGTTCTAGGACTTCTTCTCGATACCGGACAGCCGTCACAGAACCCCGTTTAAAGAAGTGTAGGTCGGTGCGGTATCCTAATGAAATCCCTGCCCACACCATAATGCTTCCGCCCCGGAATGCGTGATGTTCGATGACGTTTTGGGGCTGATTGCGTGTTCCTTGTTTACGCCATATCCTTATACGCTTGTCATATGGCTCCAGAGAAAATCTTGACTCATCAGTAAACATGACATTGCCCCAGTCAGACACAGTCCAATTGCCACGTTCCCGGCACCACTTTAATCGTGCCCCTGTTGATTGGACGGATAGAGGAACACAAACTCGAGGTACCCGGGAATACAGTCCATTCATATGTAATCTTCGGCGTACAGTAGCTGCACATATAGCCTTACCAATGGACGCTGTAACCATAGATGTCACACGTGTGGAGGTCGCTCTGCGATTCCGCTTGGCTGCAATAGCAATATATCGATCTTCCACGGGGGTTGTAACCCTTGGGCGACCGCCTACGGGCCTTCGGACAACTGTCTGTGTGGTTTGGAATTGTTTCCATAAACGTGAAATTACAGAATGATGAACGCCGAAGAAAAGAGCAACATCTGTGATCGACTGTCCTGCTTGAATGTGCCCACAGCATGCCAGTGCTCAGAATCTTCCATTCGTTTTCTGGAAGTCATTTTAAACACGTATGTCTTGAAAACAAATTGTACGAAAGTTTTAAACACTTCTATCAGCACTTACAAATCAACTTCTGTAACCCTTCATAAAGCTGGCTTCTTATAAGACTGCCCTTTTTGTATATTTCTTGACATGAAAGCACGATTGGCTGTTACCTAACATATTTGCATACTTCCATCTACCTCTGCAGCGAATTGCATCTTCTTCAATTCTGATTGGCTTCCGGAAATTAGCATTTTCCTCTCGTGCTTAACTTTTGGAAGTGAGTGTATAATTTCAACTATTGCTAGTGTGTTAAGTATTTTCATAAATAGCCCAATCCTAATCCAGGGATTTGGATGATGTAATTTCTAGATTGTAACTATAACACGGGATTCCAAACCCTAGGAAAAAATGTGCAATTACGGAATGTGCTAATTTTTTACTTTTTATAGTGTGAATATATTTTTACAATATCACGAAAATTAAAACATTTTCCTATCTGAAGATGGATGTGTTCTTATTTTGACTGTCTCTTTTTGAAATATAGTGAAAATAATCTTAATGCTTATACAGGAGTATTTTGTGTGTGTGTAATATTTTTTGTGATAAAAAAATAGTTTTTTTCACCCTATGCTTTTTGATCAAGAAGCAGTTAAGAATTGATCAAAAACCCTACCATTTATTGAGACTTGAAAATCTTTCAGTATTAGAAATTCTGTAACTGGTCGATCCTTTCTTCAGTTACTAAAAATATATTTGTCTGTGAATTAAATATATAATACATATTCTGAATTACATACATTCACCCTCATAGCCACTATTGTCCGTAATGTCCTGTTAAATCTATCTGCATACATCTAAAATAATAAACATTTAGTTTCATGTTAGGTTGAACGCAATTTTATTACTTAAATCAGATATTCGCGGGCCTCAGCGCGAAGCGCTTTTACCCAAGTTGGGTGAAATAGAGAAAATCATGAAAGAAAGGTATAAAAATCAAGTGGCCCCGGCGTGGGGGCGAAGGAATTGGCTCCCAAGCGGCTGCAAGAGCGGACGAGAACCGGGGAGAAATCTGGAGGAAGCGCAAGGAAGGGAAACGATCTCCAGACAAAAGGAGGCAACCAATATGAGCGGCGGTAGTGAGTCCACTACGAGTCATTCTGGTGCAGTAGAGCATTTGATGTTGTAATGTAAAAATTAGTGAAATATGTAGAAATTAAGGTGGTACAAGTAAATAGTGCAAGAAAACCTGAGAGAGTGATTTAAAAGATTTAAATTTTAGTTTGCAGTATGGACAGCATTTGTCCCACTGCATCATCATTTGAGCCATCTGAGACATCAAACTTGCTGTGTCAATTGATTCATGTTGTGTCTTTTTCTTAACTGCACCTGAGTACAGTTGTTGTGGTGGTGTGTGTTCTGGGCGCGTGCACCGGTATTCACCTGACGACATGTGAAACATGTTGTTTATTCTTATTGTTAGCGTTGTTATGGGATAAATTTATTAGGTTAATAGTGCGCTAAAGATATAAAATAGGTAAAAGACAGCTTACACAAACATTGCGAGTACAGGAAATGATTTTTTACTATATTTGTTATTATTTTTGACCTCCTTAACATTTTGAGAACAAGAGCATGAATTCGGTCTTTATTATTTTTTTTTTTATTTAATTATTAATTTAAAATTTTATGATTAAATTTTCGTTTATTTTATTTTTCAAAAAAACATGCGTGATTTCAGGTTGTAACCCTTTACATATCGTCTTCAATGTAACATAATATTTTGTTTTACCACACTTAATACGTATCGCATTTAATACTTAATACGTACACAATACGCATTCGTAATTTTTTAAAAGTTCTGTTCCGTATATTTCTTATACGGTTATAATTTTTTTGGGGGAAATGAAAAATTGCAATTTTTTATTTTTAAATTTTCTCTTACTTAAATTTCAGTTTAGAGTAAAATGGGGAGATATTGTGTTCAAGTAAACACTATCATCAAACCAAATGCATTATAAACATATAAAGATCAAAAGAGATAAGCTTTCAACTTGTAATTTCACAGATAAACAATGCAATGCTTTTAAATCATTTCATCATCCATTATCTTTGTAAAAATTGTTTTCTACGTTGGTAAAAATTTAATAAAAAGAAATTCTATAATTGCTCAGGGGAAAAAAAATTCTCCCCGGCGGGGAATCGAACCCCGGTCTCCCGCGTGACAGGCGGGATACTGACCACATATACTACCGAGGATAAGAACACTTGCCGAAACCCGGGATTCGAACAGGGACCTTTAGATCTTCAGTCTAACGCTCTCCCAACTGAGCTATTCGGCACGGAAGCTAAAGGATCGATAAGCTTTCTGTAGCGTAATTCTCTTCTTTTATGGTTATCAATAAATGAGAGGCAGATAAGCATATATATATTGTGATTTGAAGAGCGCATATATGCTATCTACAACTCCTGTGTGTTGGGGAAGGAGAAATACTGATAAAATTACTCAAGCAAATTATACATATATTGTTTGTCTTCTACTTTCTACCTTCCATAACTTGTTGAAATTTGATGACTGATTTGTCAGGAGCAAGTTTATCCCATACAATTAAATTCCTCGACTTACGCGATTTTCAAATCTCCTCGACTAGTCTCTTTTTTTATTTTTTCTCACTGAAACATAGACGGAATCATTGCCAGAGCAGATGAAATTATCAACGTTATTGAAGAAGTTGTCGATCAAGCCAAGCAAATAAATTTAGAAGTGGATAGTGATGACGTTCAAGAACTGCTGGACTCCACCAATCAGGAGCTGACAACTGATGATCTCATAGAAATGCAAGAGCATTGAAGAATTCGAGTCTTTAAGAACCAGTTCAATCAGAAGATTGAATAATGTTTGGAAGTTGACAGAAGACCTTTGTTTAGTTGAAAAAGAATTACAAATGTAAAAAAATAGAGATTCCAAGGAAGAGCGTATTTTTTCAACAAAACAAAAATTATTAGCATGCTACGAGGAAATTTTGCGGGTGAAAAAAAACTTTGAGCTGGTAGACTACTTTGTTACATTTTATGAAGCATTTTACGTCAAAATAAAAAAATACAAAATTGTAAACCGAAGTTTTCTGAGATTTTATATTAAACATTTTTTTTTTCCCCGTCTCAACACCCAAAAAAATAATTTAAATGTATTCATGTGTGAAATTATACTCGACTTACGCAGTTAGCAATCTCAGTCCCACAATCACGCAAGTTTTGTATAATTAGTATATCCGCACAGTGATGCTTTTGAACTTGTGGTATGCAAGAAGAATAAAGCTGATTTCAGGAGACAAGTAGCGGAAAGATTTTATTGGAAAAAAATTTTAGACCAATTTCAGTCATACGGTGGCAGCACTGAACTTTTTTAAGGCATATCAACTCCAGGAAAGGAACCTAGCATGTTAATTTCGCTTCTGAACACAAACCCCAATTACCTTTATTTCATGTATAGACCTAAGGGCATTAATTTGATGAGTTTGGTATTATATGTTACATTACTTTATATTTTTAATGATATTAGAACTCTGAAACATTTGTCTGATCTATCCCGTTAAAGGAATGTGTCATTTTTCTTCTCTTTCTTAGTATTGCATGTAAAATAAGCTTCTTAGTTGCACCAAGTGAAAATCGCTAGCATAAGTTTAAAACACATAAAAAATTTTGGAAGTTCTTTCATTTACGATTTGGAAAGTTTTTCCAAGAAATGTATTTCTTCGGATAAGATGATTTTCGATGACTCTGAAGCAACATGGGAGCTATTGACGTAATTTTGAAATCATATAACAATAAATTTCACAAGAAACACAGGAATTATGCATCTTAAACAAATCTAACTTTTTGAAGGTATATATTTTCTAACAAGCATCTATAATAAATAAATACTAATGCTATGTGTGTGGTGTTATAAAATATAATATTCTGGAGTCCTAGAATTTGTCTTTTCCTGGATTTATTGTAACAAAACTTCCAACGATAAACTTAACAATCTTTAACAAATTAAATCAATATATTAATTAAACTGAAACTAAAGAGAATTCTAATATTCAAGATAAAATCCTAGTAAACAACGGAACTGGTACGCCGAAGCAAGAATTATGAGAAAACAACAGCACATGTAGTTATGCTGAAGCCAAGTTCAAGATTCAACTGAGACAGAATCTGTTACATATGGTTTCTGTCGAGATAGACCAAGTGGGGTCTGAGCCGGGTGTCAACTATGCTCCACACACTCAGACCACCCAGTTCATAATTCACAACAGCATCCTTGAAATTTAACAATATTTTCAATTTCAATCTACTAAGTTTTTTCTCTCAAATTTAGCACTGTATGCGTTAAAATAATAAGCAAGATTTATTAAAAACACTAAAGAGGGAGAAAAAAAATGAGCCAAGCAAGCCCTACATTGATTTTAAAAATATTTCCCCAAGACATAGAGTAATTATTAAAAAAACATTTCTTTTTTTTTATTTTTATGCTGCAACGGAAAACTTGAACCTTATTCTCTTCTTTAGCTAAAGTGAAATTGTGGTTAGAAAAATGGTTTGCAGTTGAAGAGAATACACCATTTAATAACACTGAATAGGTAGGGTAACAAAAAATAATGTTCGAGACAAAGTCAGAAGGAACTTTCAATAAATTATTTCTTAGCCTATATAAAAGTTGATGCAGTGAAGCAATATTGAACATCGAATTTGACAATTCATGTTTATTTGCTTCATGCAATTTTGTGGAACTATATATGTTTGTGTTAATTCTCTCCTGATAGAAAATCTAAACATTTATACTAGTATAGGCTCCAGAATAAACAATTTATTCTGAAAGAAACTGCTTGTTTAAATGAATTTTTCCTACATTTGAAAGCCATTAAACATCAAACAACAATAATTTTGGTACAGTCAAGAGCATTTCTCTACTAAATATATTTCCAGTTTATACTGTAACATATAGCAAAACAGCCTGCATCATGTATATCCAAGCCATATTTTTACACCAGTTTTGTAGCAAAATCAAAATTTCTTTAAATGCATACAAGATATTATATAATTTTATTCACTTTGTAATAGAAATTAATAATACTTTTTCAGAAAAGACCAAAAAAACTAAATTTTTACCTATAATTGTGTAAAACAATAAAGTATATATGCTTAAAAGAACCTAATACTCTATTTCAGAAATTTTTTCAAAGATTTAAAAAATCTGTGAATGCACATTTTTATACATGTATTCTTTTAAATGAAACAAATAAATACAAATTCATAGAAATATTTTTTATTAAAATACTGTAAAAAAATTACAAGTTACATAGGCACATATTACTCAATAAAAACTTTCACAAAGACGCACATAAAAAATAAATGCAATTCTCAATTATTGCAAAATTTAAAACAATGCTTCATTCTCTTCAGTAATTAAAAATTCCTCTTTCAGTTCATTGATTTATTCCATTATAAAAATACTGAAATAAAGCTGCCCATTGCAAAGATAGTATTTTGAAAAAATCTATGTAAATTTAGTAAACATGCATATAAAGATTTGTTCTATCAAAATGATTTCATTATTATCATCCTATTTGTATATGGAATGCATTATTTTCATTATATAGCCATTTTTATTTAAAAAGATCTTTTAATTTTTTTTAAAAAAAACTTGTCTACAACTAAAGCCACAAAATTAGAGAAGGTTTTTTTCCCCAGAGAATTCAAATTCTATATATTAGAAGCAAGCAGTTTTATAATTTTAAGACTATGGTTTTGATACACATAAATCTTTCTCCATTCATAATTTTATTCTAATAAAAATTTACATAAACTCATCTTTTCTTTTACCAGGAAAATTTTTTT